CCCTCTCTAAGCAGTTTACAGAGTCAGCCTCTTGCCTCCAACAATCTGGGTCCTCATTTTACCCACCTCGGAAGGATGGAAGGCTCAGTCAACCTTGAGCTGGTTCAGAATCGAACTGCTGGCAGAGGACAGAGTTTGCCTGAAGTACTGCCTTCTAAACACCGCACACCATGAAGGAAGGAAGGAAGGAAGGAAGGAAGGAAGGAAGGAAGGAAGGAAGGAAGGAAGGAAGNACTTAAGGCAAGTATGTTTGTTGACTGTGGAAGAGATGCATGATACACTTTCTACAGCATGTAAAGAAGGACTGTGTTTGTTTTAAATTAAAAATAAAAAAAATAATTAAAAAAAAGTCCCCTCTGTTCTTGATTTAAGACCACAATTACACCTAAAATTGATGTTACTGCGTGAGAGGCCCTTATTGTGTTTTGCCCCTTTTGACGAACATTCTTGCCTTAAGTGACTCGCTGCAGCTGATAATTTAGTAACCTGGTCGTTAAGTGGATCCGGCTTCCCCCATCGACTTTGATTGTCAGAAGGTCGCAAAAGGGGGGGGGGAATTATGGGAAAAGATTTTCTGGATCATAATTACCCCGGGACATTGCAACTGTCATGGAGATGAAGTGGTTTGCCAAACAGTTGAATTTTGATTACATGGCCATGGGGAACGCAGCAACGGCCGTTAAGTGTGGAAAATGGCGGTTATAGACTTTTTTCCCAGTATGTTCCAGCATAACACTCGAACGCCTTGACCAATTTCAACCAAACTTGGTACACAGACTTAACTTACTCTCTGGAGACAAATACTGTGGGGGTAAGACACCCCTAACACCCCTTGGGGGTATTGGTGTTAAGATTTAACCTGTTGTGCCTTCAAATGGTTTCTACTGTACTGCTGCAAAATGGCTTCTACTGTGCAACGCAGGAAAATCTATCATTAGAAATTACGTTTGGTCTGGATATTTCCCCCTTATAAATAAATACCCAGGCAACGCCGGGTTATCGACTAGTTTTATTTATAAAAATAAATAAATGAACGTTTGTTTGTTTTTTGCCAGGCAAAAGTTGCGTCATCTCGCGCAAGAGGGAAGAATCGGACGAAGAGGAAACCCGGAAACCAGAAGAGCACCTCTCTCGGGTCAGGCAGGTAAATGGCAGGAGCACAGGGGCGGGGCGGTTGAGCCTGGCCAGAGACCCACGCCTCTGCCTCGGAAGAGGGAGGTGGAAGGGGCCAATGGGCGAGGTGATTGGCAGGAAGAGGAGGGGAGGGCTCCCTGTTTTTGAATAAATGTTTTTCTGGCCATATTCAGGAAGCCATTGAGTTTTTTATTTATCCTTTTGTTCTGTTCAGTGGGGTTAACACACCTGTTTCCCCTTAACTCCTCTCTGAATAATAAGTGACAATTGGCACCGCTGTTCTGCGGGGTGGGTGGGTGGCTGTTGGATGTTGGCAGTTTGGGCTGCGGGGGGCGGCAGGGATCATTGGCTGGTAAAAGAAGCTTCATAAATGGTCCTTTCGACGCATCAGAGAATAGAAGAGAATATCACCTGTCACCGATGGGGAGCTTCGTTCAGCAGATATATTCTCATTGTGCCCAGAGAGAGATTAGATTAGATTAGATTGCTTTTATTTATAGGNTGGCTTTTTTGGCAGCTGCTGCACACGGCTGGCTCCTATTTAAATGGTTCTCCACTAGGACTCCAAGATCCCTCTCCCAGTTACTACTATTGAGCCAGTATCCCCTATTCTGGGTGGAGAGGAGAGAAGGGGAAGAGAGGGGATAGGAGAGAGGGAAGTAGAGGCGAGGAAAAGAGTAGGAGAGAGAGAAGGAGTGGAAAAAGGAGAGAAGAAGGAGAAGTAGAGAAGAGAGAGATGGTATTTTCTTTTGACACCCCCCCCCCCGAAATCAGCGCTTGGCCTTATTTTCGGGGTGGTCTTATTTTTGAGGAACAAGAGCTGGGGAGCGTGGTCACCTCATGGCCGCTGCTGTGTTGCAATATTTTGGGGGAGGGCTTATTTTAGCGCATGCGCTCAAAAGCCCAATTGGGCTTATTATCCGAGGAGGTCTTATTTTGAGGGAAACAACTGTGAACGGTGAGAAAACGCATCGTTGTAAGTCGAGAACCACCCGTGCTTGATCCGAAGGCATCGCGTCCTTTTCACAAGAAAAGAAAAGAAAAATCCAGGCAAGGTTGTCCAAGGTTTTGTTCCAAGAAGCCATTTATGCTGAGTCAATGAAACCGGGAAAATAAAAGGCATGAGAATTCGGGTGACGGTTATTAACGCTCCAGAAAATCTTAAAGAAATGCTTCTTCAAAAAAAAAATAGCCGCGTTTTTCGGTGGTCACCCAGGGCTGTGGTTGTTTTTGCAGTTATTATTGTGTCGTCTTTTTGAAAATAGAATATATGTAGTTCTTGGCTAGCACTGATGATGTTACCTAGCTGGGTCATGAAACGCCTGCAAGACAACAAGGAAGTTCAGAGAGCACCAAGGACCCTACAATCCTCCTCCATCTTTCCTCCTCCTTCTCTTCTTCCCAACCCCCGTTTCAATTGTGAGTGTTGTGGATTTTTAATATTGTTTGTATTGTCTTATTTATTCCCCCCTTGTTTATTGTGAGCCGCCCAGAGTCCTTCAGGAGTGGGCGGCATACAAAACCAATAAACCTAACCCAAGCCCCACTCCCTTCCAACACTGATGATGTTACCTAGTTGGGTCATGAAACATCTCCAAGAAAACCACCAAGCTCACCAAGAACCCTATAGTCGTCGTCGTCGTCGTCGTCCTCCTCCTCCTCCTCCTCCTCCTCCTCCTCCTCCTCCTCCTCCTC